CCCTGAGCCTGAAAGGCGAAAGGGCTTAAGCAACCACTCCTATGAATCGTATCGGAAATAGGCCGGGACGGTACACTTGCCTTCCAGCCCTGAGCCTGAAAGGCGAAAGGGCTTAAGCAACCACTCCTATAAATCGCTAAATCTCGATGTCCATTGCGAAGAGTGGAACAAATTTCTAAGTTAAAACAATTTTTGAATCAAAGGAAGTCGTCCAAAATCCGATCTTTGAAAAATACAAAAAATACTCAAAGTTAAAATCCAATGGAAAACTCGTTTGAGCAACGTGATCGTTCACATTCCGGATATAATTTGGTCGTCCAAGAACCGAGTTCATAGTTGATCGCCAGAATTCCGACTCAAATGAAGTGAAAATCACGCGTGTTGATAATCAATTTTAACGAGATATGTCGCCCGAATTCTGACTTTGTTTGGTGAAAGAAAGGACCAAGTTAAAAACTGGCTTTTTAAACAATCGTAATCGCCGAAATTTCGACTGTAACCGATTGGAAAATTTTCTAAAATAAAATTTGGCTGAAGTTTTTCAAGTAAGAGTAAAATTACGACAAATAACCGGTTAAATACCGACTCGAACTAAAAGAAGTGATTAATTAGTCGGTTATAAACCGAGTCAAAATGATCAAATGTTGAGTGGAATAATTTCCACGAGATACATTTGGACAACCAATCGGATGAAAGCTGACTTAAATTGAAAGTGGAATATATTTCCAAGCAGCGAATGTGAAGTCTTCCAAGGCAAATCGCCCTGATTCCGACCCCAACATTGAACGCCAACTTTTTCTAAAAATGAACGTTTTCCATACCCAGTCGCCCAAATGCCGAGTTCAAAAAATAACAAATTATTCTAAGTTTGTAAGAATATTCTAAGTTAAAACAATCGTCATAATGCTTAGTAAGAAAAACAATAAATTATTCTAAGTTCAAAATGGCATGTGAATCATGTCTCGACCAAATTCCGAGTAGATTAAAAATTATTCTAAATTGGTCAAATTCTGATTTTAGATCAAAAATTCAGTGGGGCCGTGTGAAACCAATTGGTCAAATGTCGATTGGTACAAGTGGAAATTAATTCAAAATTAACCAAGTGATCGGCAACACACCGAATGAAAATTATTGGGAAACCTAAGTTTAAATGTCCTTTAACCATGAGATTAGCCCAACGCCGACTAAAAATTATGTATGAAGAATTTCCAATACTGGAGAAACTTAACCACGCGATCGGCACGATGCTGACTCAAAATGATTGCAAAACTTTTGTTTAAATGCAACTTACCCGCGTGATCGGCAAATTGCCGAATCAAAAGAAGTTTCCTAAGTTTGGGATAGAATTTAATTGTATGGTTAGCAACAGTAATATGAGAAATATCTAATTCAAAAGGAAACTCAACCACCTGATCGCCCCAAATTATATATATATATATTAAGAT